CCACTTCTCGAGATTGTCGCAGTCTTCAGCCAGGCCCCTTCAGGCGGGCCCACTTTTCGAGATTGAGTTGCTGATTCAGCCGGGCCCCTTCAGGCGGGTCCACTTCTCAAGATTGTCGCAGTCTTCAGCCAGACCCCTTCAGGCGGGATCTTCTTCTGAGATAGCTGCTGCTCAGCCGGGCCCATCCAGGCGGGCTCTATATTGAGTTGCTGTTCAGCCGGGCCCATTCAGGCGGGCCCTATATTGAGTTGCAGTCAGGCCATTCAGACAGGCTTTTACATTGAGTTGCTGATTACTGTTCGGTCAGGTCTTGGAGACAGTACCCGTACTAGAGAGGGTGTGCGTTCTGTCCAAGCTGGCCCGTCGTCGTGAGACTACCCCTAAGTGGGGTAGATTGATTGAGAGGTTCTGTTACAGACATGTGGGACATCAGAGTTTCACTATCAGGGCCAATGAGTGCTCGACCTCGAGACACACGCTCGTGATCACCTACTCGGTGAAGGGGGCAGAGACGGGGGTGAAGGGCACCACGTACGACAGGATTGCTGATTACATATTTCGCAGGGAGAGCTATTGGAGGGACAACTGGCTACATGTGGTGTTCCCTCGTGTACCTTCAACACCTGGGGGTCTGCTCTTCGATTTTGATGGATGCAACCTCAAGCCCCTTAGTGAGTCTCGCAGCAAGGACAAGAGGCGGAAGGACGACCGGATTAGGAGAGAGAGAGCCATATCCGGGGTCCCAATCACTACATGCGTCCAGAGATCAGAGACGGACTAGTCGGACTTGGATTCTTGCTCTGTGAGTGACGTTGATCTTGGCGATTATTTCGACTGGGACACTCACAGAGATTGAGTTTGTGGACAGTGACGGGAGCGCTGGAAACCAGCGAGCGGAGACGTCGGAGGGCGACATTGAGGAGGATCGCACTTCTTCTTGCACGGTATCTTCTTGAGGGTGATTGACTCCTACATGTCAAACGACCCTGGGTCTGAGAAAGTTATTAGGTCCCCCAAGAGGGGAGGGTCCGGTCCCATACCTTGGAGATGGCTATAGTCATTTGGTCGGGACGGACTTTGCTATGCAGGCTTATCGAAAGCCTCTTTACGGAGATCGCTTTCTCGAGGTTTCCTACATTTAATTTGGTGGGAGAGGACGTATTGAGATATTGATTGGAGCTTCATGCGACATCATTCTTGCGGAGGAGCTTTACCTCAGGAGCGTCGCAGATGAGGAGATGGCCAGATGCATGGCCGATATCTGCAAGATTGATCCAGCAGCGCTCCCCGAGATCAGCTATGTGGTTCCAGAGTCTATAGCCACACGAGTTCTCAATGACGAGGAGTCCCAGACGACAACACTCACTCACGAGGGGGTACCGCTTATTATCATTGATTGAGGTTCCCTCTTTTCAGTCACTATGATGTATTACAACATTATTATTTATTAGTGACTGCAGCCCTCCGATGGCTGCTCCCTGCATATTTTGTGTACTACTCCTCAGTCTCGTTTCTCTGGTCGTACTCTTGCAGAGTCTGGTTTCTAGTCTTCTCATTTTGTCAGTGTCAATTGCTCTATGATGCATGTTATTTTTTCTCCTTATTTTATGCAGGTTGCACTCAAGGCAGCTTAAAGGACTCCTGAATGATAGGGACTCTGTTGACCTTGAGTCTATCCTTTATACGGAGTCAGGTGCAGGCGATAAACCCGAACGCCTCACTCTAAGCCGTGTCGCCGCTGGCAGGAGGGATAACCCTGACTACTCGGCTGTATGATAAAGTGTGACTGCCTCTGAACACACCTCAATTTTCATACCTATCGAAATTCCTTCGTGACAGCCTGCCAGTCCTCCAACCCACTGAGCTCGGTCTCGGGGAAGGACATCTCACCGGACCCTTGGAGCAGTGGGGGCGCGACAGCGTTTGGGGTCCTGTTCGGGGGCCGAACACCTCCAGGTTCAGCCCCCGCCAAAAAAAAATTCGGGGCCTTAAAATAAGGTTTTTTTTCTGAATTGTTTTTTGTGAGTTCTCTACGATGTAACCTACACGCCTATAAATTTTGAAGCCATTCAGCTAAGCCAAAAAAACATAAAAAATCGTCAAAGATGGGGGTATCAAAACATGCTCGCCCACTCACTATTTTGTTTTTTTTTCACTTTTAACTTTTTGTTTTCACTGTATTTCGGGGCCTAAAAAATTTTATTATTTTTTGAAAACTTTTTAATGAGTTATTGATTATGTAAACTACATATCTGTAAATTCTCAGGGCATTTGTCAAAGCCAAAAAATAATTAAAAATCGGCGAAGATGGCGGTGTCGAAAAGGTGCTGGCACACTCACTCATTTTAATTCTTTTTTTATTTTTTCTTATTTTCATCATAGTATTTATTTTCTGTATTTGATTTTTAATTCAAATTTGGTAAAGAATTTGGATGTAGTGCCGAGGCAAATGTTGTTTAGTTTATTTTTCTCCATAACATATTTGTTTTCTGGGTTTTTTTTTAAAACGTTTTTTTTTTTTTTTTTT